AGATAGATAGATAGATAGATAGATAGATAGATAGATAGATAGATAGATAGATGTAATGAAGTTTTAGGTAAATGTGACAACTGATAATGCTTAGTTGTGGATAGCAGAACATAGTATACCGCTATCTAAAATGCAGATTCTAAATTATTCTGTTTATTTGTGACAAGATCTCTTTGTGTAGCTCAGGCTGACCTTAAGCTCAAGACTGTAGAAGCTATTCTGAGACAGATATCTATGGTAATCTACTTTAACCTCAGAACAAGGCTGCTTTAGCCTCAAAACAGGCCCCTGCTGCCTTTGAGTGGGACCACAAATGGTTTAACAAACCCTGGCTGCATACAATCTCTTGCCTTTTGAAGAATTCTTGTTTTAATGAGCAGAACAGGCTCAAGCCATCAGAAACTTGACGGCCTCATGATCAATGCCTGCTGTGCATAGATAACCTCTATGGAGACTATCTCTTCTTGAGCCTAACTTGGATTGTGAAGCTTGGTAGCAAATGCTTCTTTTCTGCCTGAGCTATCTTGCCAGCCTAAGACTTCTTGTTTATTCCTGTGTTTATAGAGGAGGGCTTTCTGCCTCTGATCTCCTGGGCTGAAATTATCTTCCTGCACATACCACTGTGCTCACTGTAACTACGGGGACAGTAAAGAAAACACAGAGTGGCCACTCCATGATTAGGGTTAAAGGCTTCTGGAAGGGCCGTTAAGAGCTGAGAGAAAAAGCAGCAGACTGGATATGGCCAGGGCTGGGGAACTATAAGGAGGATGAGTAGCTGGCAAGTGAACTAGAGCAGTTTGGGAGGTTCGGAGGAGGTGAGAAGGACCAGAATGTTAGCATGGATGTTGAGATGCATATAAGTTTGAATAGGGATTTAGGAAGTTTGGAGGCCAGCATGAGCTTTAATATACAACCACTGGAATATGTCAATGAAGAGCCACAAATCCTTTCTGCCACAGGCATGGGAAATGACCCCTTTTGACAGATGGGAACCTATTTCACAAGTTCCTGAGGAATTCTGGCTTTATCTAACACCAGAAATCCTTCTACAGTTCTAGCCAAGACTGATGTATGTCCTTCATTTTAAAAGTAAACTGAGAAAAAAAAGTAAACTGAGTCAGGGGTGGTATTTGTAATCCCAGCACTTGGGAAGTAGAGGCATAGCAAGTTCAATGCTAGTCTGTGCTTCAGGAGACCTACCCTAAATAAATAAATAGCCAGGCATGGTGGTGTTCTCCTGTAATCTCAACATTGAGAAGCTTGAGGCAGGGGGATCTCAAGTTCAAGGCCAACTTGGGGCTATATAGAGTTCCAGGTTACAGTGGGAGACTTAATAAACTTATAAAAATAAAATAAAATAATAGAATACAATAGAATTTGGCATGGTGGCACATGCCAACCCTGGCAGTTGGAATATTGAAGTAAAAGTGTTGTGGATAAAAACATGTTTTTGTTTTGGTCCCAAGTGTGGGATGTGGGACTGATTCAGATTGTCCACAGCAGCAGACTATTTGCCTCATGAGGACCCTTGGAAGAGCAGTTGGTGCTCTTAACCACTGAGATATCCCTCCAGCCCCTTCCTGCCCCTTTCTAAGTGGTGCTCTTCCTTAAGGACTAAGGTTTGATTCCCAGGACCTACATGGCAGCTCACAAACATTGATAATTCTAGTTCCAGGTAATGTAACACCCTCTTCAGACACTAGGTACTCAAGTGGCACTGAGAGGCCAAAGAATTAAAAATTAGTTTTTTGGGTGGTTATTAGATTGAAGTTTAAAGCACACCTGAACAAGGGCCAGACAGGTGGAGATATGCCCAGCCACCTTTGGGAGGAACCAGCCTTACTGCATTCTTTCCTGCCCACTAGAGATACAGTTGCTGGGAAACCGGCCCAGATCACCCCTCTCCGATAGCTAGCAACAGCCAAACTATACTGTTAATGGTTTTGGTGTCTTCCCACAGCCAATCAGTTCAAAATGCAACATCCCCTTTTCTGTTTCAATCAATAGGTGTTTACCAGGCTGGAATTCCCCTGCTTTGGGCATGCTGGGAGGGACTGGGACCTTTAAATCACCCTCCTACCATGAGCTTGAGGCTCTACTCTCAATCGCTGAGTCAGTGAGGGTATGGGCCAGAGCTTGCTCCAGCTTGTAATAAAAAGATCCTCACGTGTTTTGCAATGCACCCCTGGCAGTGGGGTCTTGCGAATAGGGCACAACAGGACACAGACATATATGTAATCGAAACACCTATATACATTAAAAAAACAAAAACAACCACATTTAAAAGGTTTGGGATTATAGTACAGTTGGTAGACTTTGTGCCAAGTTCTATCCCCAGCAACATATACACAGGCATGCTAGCCTATCCCTGAGACTATAGCACTCAGGAGGCAGAGACAGATTCAAGGTTGGATCTGTCTACAAGCTACACAGCAAGTTTGATGTCAGCATGGGACACATCCCCCCCCCAAAAAAAAAAAATCCAAACAACAAAAGCATACCAGTTAAATAGAATTCAGTATTTTTGTAATTGTGCTACTATTATCACTGTGAATTTTAAACATTTTCATTACCCTCTCCTCAAACATAGCCACTGGCAGTCACTTCCTATAAGTTTTTATTGTTTGCTTTGAAACATTTGTGTGTGTGTGTTGGGGCGGTGTGTGGACAGTGTGGTCAGAGAAATCTTGCTAGAATTGGTTCTCTTCTTCCACCCTGTAGGTTCCAGAGATCCAACTCAGATCATTAGGCTTGCAGCAAGAGCTTTTGCACCTGAGCCATCTTGTTCATTCGCAGTCAGTTTTGTAGTCAATCTTTTAGTTTAGCCAAGCTGGGCAGCACACTCCTTTAATCCCAGCGCTTGGGAGGCAGAGGCAGGCAGATCTCTGTGAGTTTAAGGTCAGTCTGGTCTACAGAAGGAGTACAGCCTTTGTTACACAAGAGAAACCATGTCTTGAAAACCAAAACACAAACAACCCCCCCCCCCAACAAACCTTTTATTTTATTTTTTAAAGATAGGATTACACTATGTAGCCTTGACTGCCTGAAAATAGCTTTGGAGACCAGGCCAGCCCCTAATTTATGGCAATCTTCCTGCCTTCTGAGTTCTGGGATTACAGGTCTGTACAAGCACTGGGACACTTTTATCACTTCTGATCTGACCGGTTACAACCGCCTTTTAACTCCTAACCTCGGGCTGTCCATGTTACTTCAACTCAAGAACACAGGCTGAAACAGGAGCTGGCTAATGCAGGGTGTAGTTCATCTGCTTGCCTAGATGTCTTGACCTTTTTACGTGGAGACACAATCGTCAACTACAAACTTCAACTAGATAACCAGGTTATAAACACCATCATGTTTTAAGTAAATCTTCGTATTTACAGCCTATCTTGGACCACAGGTTGGACATGCGTTCATAGAATCAAGGATCAAACATTCCTAAGCCTAAACTACAGTCAGGGCAGCTTGTCAGGCATTGTGAGTACAAATGGGTTATTACCATAAGATTCCCTTTATCACCGTGGTGCTTGGGTTCTGAATTGTCTCTGCTTAGACCTGTCTTTCCACCCTGTCTTTAATTGCTTTCTCAACTTGCAGGACAACCTCCTGGCGGGTGGCTGAGAACCTGGCTGGCCCCGGGCGGCACTTGTCACGGAAGGCACAGCTCTGCAGATCTGAGCATCTGCGATGCCACCAGCCTCTTATCCCACACAGGGATGGGCAGGCAAATGGCGTCTACCTCAACTTTGCGCTACCTACCACCGGAAATGACTTCGTGAGGGCACTTCTGAAGTACAGGAATCTAGGATTTGAGTGTCAGGGGAAAGAGAGGCAAAGGACAGCGCCGAACACAGGTCACGCATGCGTAAACTGACCATCAGGAGTCGGTGACCCCCGCTTCCGCTCCACCGACAGAGCCGCCGACTTCCGGCTTGGCGCCACGCTCTGGCCCCGCCCCCACGCTACCATGACGGAAGCGCGCCAGGGTGACCTCACCGTCCAACATGGCGGCGGCGGTAGATTAGGTCCGCGGGTCGAAGCAGCCGCCGCCGCTCTCGGACCCTGTGGGAAGCACCTGCTGCTGCCACCGCCGCCTCCTTCGTCCGTTCTGGGGCAGGGCCGCAACCAGGTTAGGGGAGCCGGGTCCCGGGGGGGCCCTGGCGGGGGGCCAAGCGGCTTTCCCCCGGTGAGGAAGGGGTCTCGGGGTCCACCGAGCTGATCGCCCCGTGCTGCCCGCGACTCGGGACCCAGCGGGAGGGAGGGAGCACCGTGCTGCTCCGGCCAGGAGTCTCGGAACTTTGGGGTCCTTTTGGGGCTAATCGGACCTAGCCCGTACGCTCCACGACCGGCGGCTTTTGGACGAGCTGTGTGGCTGCCTGAGGCTCACCCTTGCTCTACATTCTGTTCTGCACACGGATCTTGGCTTCGAGAGCCGGGGTCTGTTTTGGGGGGCTGGACCGGGAAGCGTGTGCCATTCACTTAGAACGACTGTAGGTTAGCCTTGCTGGTGGTTCCCTGTCACAATGTTAAAATCCTGCTTCTCAGTCTTGGCACTGCAGTTTTGACGCCCATTCCCACTCCACCCCCACCCCCAAGACAGAACAGAACCAACTAGGCCTTCTTACCCTATGGAGGCGATACCATTTACACTAAATCTTTTTTTGTTGTTGTTGCTTTCTTTTTTTAAATTCTCATATTCCCACGGGATCCCACACTTCTTGCTTTCATATTAGAGTACTGTGAAGAAGGAAGCCCAGGCTTCCCAACTTGGGGCTTTTACTTAGGGGGAAAAATTGAACTGGTCTGCCTAGAAATTCGTATGCTCTTGGCTTTGTTAAGCAATTTACCATTCCCATGTACAAATGTTTGTTTATTCAACAGATCTGTTTTACTCTGTGTTTAGAAGAAGTTTTGAACTATGCTGACAGGCCCCTCTTCCTTCTGATGTTAAAGTTTTTGCAAAATTTTCAAAATTTCCCTTGGAGGCTTGTTGTGAACCAGAATGTTGATGTACTCTGCCCTAACTTGTGTGACCTTAAATGAATTGCCACACCCTTGAAATACATACCTTTCTCCCCCGCCTTTTCTTCTTAAACACAGTAGAACATTAAGCAACTGTGTGGGTAGTGAGCCACTTATATTTCATATACACAATTAGATAAATGTATCTTCTGTTTATAACAATGAATTGAAAATATTTAAACCATCACTATATAATAGGCAAGGGCTTTGCAAGTCCCTTTGCTCTGGGTGATCAGGCAGTATTCTATTCTAAATATTTTTTTTTTTTTTCCAACGGCTCATAGTCCTTAAAATAACATTGTTTTGTTTTTTGATCCTCATGTATCCCAAACTGGCCTTGAACTCAGATCCTGCTCCTCCTACCTCCTTTGTATAGAGATTCAGGAGTACCCAATCATGCCTGTCCCTTTCATCTTTCTTTCTTGTTTTTTTTTTTTTTTTTTGAGACAGGGTTTCTTTGTGTAGCCTTAGCTTTTTTAAACCAGGCTGCCTCTGTGTCCCCGAGTGCTGGGATTACAGGCATGTGCCACCTCACCCATTGCCTGTCCCTTTTAAAAAATTAAATGTCTGATGATTATGATTATTGTGGATGTAGGTGTGTAGGGCAGTAGGCGGTTTGCTTTCTTAGGATGAGGGGATGAGGAGGATGGGACAGGGTCTCTATAGTCCTGGCTGTCCTGAGCTTTCAGCCTCAAACTCAGACATCCACGTGCTACTGCCTTCCGAGTGTTGGGACTAAAGGCATGCACCTCCACTGCCTGGAACATTTTTTCCTTTTTTTTTTTTTTTAAGATTTATTTATTTATTATGTATACAGTGTTCTGTCTTCATGTACACCTGCATGCCAGAATAGGGCACCGGATCTCATTATAGATGGTTGTGAGCCACCATATGGTTGTTGGGAATTGAACTCAGGACCTCTGGAAGAACAGCTGAGCCATGAGCCATCTCTCTCACTCTTCTCTTTTTTTGTCCAAGCTGATGTAGAGGTCAGAGAACAGCTCGTAGGAGTCTTCTCTGCTTCTACTGTACGGGTTCTGGGAGTTGGTTAGGCATGGCAGCAAGTGGCTTTATTTACCTGGGAGCCATCTTGCCCTCTGTCCAAAGTATTTTTTTTTGCAAATTTTCTTAGGAAACATTTTAGACATAAAATTGTAAATATTTAGTATTTTCATTATTTTTTCTCAGTTTTCATTCATTTTGAGTCATATTTTACTCCAAATAAGTGAAATTATCACCAAGATGTACACATGTGTTTAGATGTATTGATTTTATTCTGTTCGATTGTATGTGCACCTGGTGCCTGCAGGGGCAGCACAGAGAACACCCTGGGTCAGGAGTTACCGATGGTTCTGAGCCACGGTGTGGGTGCTGGGGACCGGACCCAGGTCCTCTGCAAGAGCAGTAGATGCTCTTAACCTCTGAGCCATCTGCAGACCCCGCACCAAGAATTAATTTTTTAAATTAATAAGTTTTTTTTTTTTCTTTTTCAAAACAGGGTTTCTCTGTGAAGCCCTGGCTGTCCCGTACTCGCTTTGTAGTCCAGGTTGGCCTCCAACTCAAAGCAATCCACTTGCCCTTGCCTCCCGCAGTACTGGGATCCCAGGCATGTGCCACTGTGCCCGGCAAGAATTTTTAGATAGGTTTTCCCTATATGGCTCTTATTTGGTCTTGAACTGTGATCCTCCTGTCTCAGCCTCTCAAGTGCTGAAATCACAGGCCTTTATCATCCAAATCTGGCTTAAGAATAATATTTCCAGCACTTGAGTTTTGTCCTTTGCATGCTGGGCTCTTACTGAGGTACACCCAGTCCCTTTGGCTGTTGTTTGCTTTGTGTTTTTGTGGTACAGGGCTTGAAAACAGGTCTTCAGGCTTTCATGTGCTCTACTGCTGAGCTACGCGCCTAGCCCAATAGTAGCTGATATTTTTGTTGTTTCTGTTTTTATGAGATAGACTCTCACGCTCTGGACCTCACTGTGTAGCCCGTTCTGGCCTCACATTGGTGGCAGTACTGCTTTAGCCTTCTGATTGCTAGGATTGCAGCTGTGTTCCACCAAGGCTGGCTGAGAGCCTCACTGTCGCAGCTTCCTCGAGATACCATTAATTTACCATACTACTCAGTTACATAATGTAACGGCTTTCAGCACATCCAGAGTTGCACAACCATCATTGGATTCTCATCACTTCCCAAAGAAGCCTCATACCCCCTGGCCATGTTTTGTTTTTTTTTTTTTTAGAAAAATCTGTAGCCCAGTCTTGAACTTTGGATACATCTGTCACAGTTTCAGTGCTAGGATTGTTAGGTGTATGCCCCCATGCTTTGCAGTAGCCATTTTTTAATCCTTTCACCACCACCGTTTCTCCTTTTTCTCTTTCTCTCTTTTTTATTTTTTGGCTTTTTGAGATAGTGTTTCTCTGTGTAGCCCTGGCCGTCCTGGAACTCACTCCGTAGACCTCTCCGTAGATCCTCCTGCCTCTGCCTCCTAAACGCAGGGATTAAAGGCGTACGCCACCCATGCCTGGCTGGACAGTGTTTTAAGCTTATGTCACGTGACCCTTGTAGTTCATCTTCCCAAGTATCTCAACGGACAGGCTCATACCACAGTGTCTAGCTTATTTAACTTAAAGATTATTTTTAAGTCTGTATCCCTGTGGGGTGTGTACCTGCCTGAGGAGGCAGAGGTGTTGAATTTCTTGGGGTTGGAATGTGAGTAGTGTCGCATGTGAACTGTGAGCCATGGGTGCTGGGACTTGAACTTGGGTCCTCAGCAAAAGTGGTGCATGTTCTTATCTATGAAGCGTCCCTTGAGCACCCCCTCCCCCCAGTTTTGTAAAGCAGTTTAGAGTTGTTTCTTTTTTGGCTGTTCGGTATAGTGATCTTGAACACTCACATCCAAATTGTGGGTAGGCATATTTACATTTCTCTAGCACATACCTAGAAGTGGAACAATATATATCTGAATTTTGTTTTGCTGTTCTATGGGAAGCTTAAAACTTACTGTGAAAGTCAGAATCTGTGTGTAAGGTGGAGGGTTTCATATTAGGAATTCCCCTATGAGTGCATTATCTGTGAATGCCAACTGCTGAGTGAGGATATTTTTGGGCAGTTGTTAACACAGGATTGAACCAGAGTGTTCCATTACGCATGTTTTAACTGAAGGGGACAATCAACAGTAGCATAATAGCAGTGTCTCTCTGTAGCAGTGCGGCTGACTGGGATATAGTCCTTTGCAATTTTACAGATTTAATTTTGTATGTATATGTGTGCATGTGTGTGAGTACTAAGGCGTGTGTATGCACGTGCATGGAGAGGCCAGAACTCAATATTAGGTTTGTTTTCAGGACTATTGTTTCCATTTCTGTGTGTGTGTGTGTGTGTGTGTGTGCGTGCACGCATACCTTTGGGTTTTGTGTCCAGGTCTTTTTTTTTTTTTTTAAATAATTTATTTAATTTTATTTTATGTGCATTAGTGCAAAGGTGTCAGATCCCTTGAACTGGAGTTACAGACAGTTGTGAGCTGACATGTGGGTGCTGGGAGTTGAACCTGGGTCCTTTGGAAGAGCAAACAGTGCTCTTAACCACTAAGCCATTTCTCCAGCCCGTGTCCAGGTCTTAACACAGCAAGTATATTACCTATCTCCCCAGCCTCTACTGACCCTGGAATTTGTTTGAATTTAACATCTGGAAATTTTGAGTGTAATAGCACATGCCTGTTATCCTAGCTCTTAGGGGCCAGAGGTAATAGTGTAACTGCAAGTTCAAGACCAGCCTAGGCAACATAACAAGTTCCAGGTCTGTGACATTGAAGGACCCTGTGTCTGAAAGAAAACCACCAAACAGAAGATTCTATATGAGTTTGGGATAGCGTTCTTAACATTTGTGAGGCCCTCTGTGTGATCCCCAGTGTAACCTCTTGCACTCTGAAAGCCATTGTATATTTAAACATTTGTTGTTTGTTTTTTAGAGACAGGGTCTCACTGTGTAGCTCTGGCCACCTGGAAGTTGCTATGTAGACCAAGCTAGCCTTGAACTCACAGAGATTTGCCAGTTTCTGATTCTTCTGTATGGGATTAAAAATGTGTGCTACAAGCCTGGCCTCTTAACTTGTTTTTTTGAAACACGGTTGATTTTGAACTCTTAGTTTTCCTCTGCCACTGAGTCCTGGGGAATTCTACACCACACATAGTTTAATCATTTTTGGTAACATTCAAATTAAATATTTATGTTTTTCTATTTCTTTATTTGTTGTGAATGTGAGCAAACAAAGCCCTAATTTCACAAACACTGACAGCCTTCAAAATTGTATATTAAATTTAAATAAATCTCCAAATCTTCAGTGCATAGATATGAAAAATAGTTTTTAATAAAGATTATTCAGTGATACCATTAAAGCATAGTAAGGATTACTTATTCAGGGGCTTGCAGGGGACACAGAAACCTTTCGAACAGCTCTGTGGTGGGGTATGGGTTGGGTTAACTCTGAACACAGGTAAGTGGGAATTTCTAGCCAAGGAGCAGTATGGGAATTAGTAGATAGGTAATCACTGAGAATAAGATTAAGTATAAGAAAGTCTGACTAAATTGATTGATATCATTCTTTGTAAAGACAGGCCAGGTGATCAGACATCAAGGATGATGAGATATTAAAGATTATTTTGGCCAGGCTGGTGGTGAATGACTTTAATTCCAGCACTCAGGAGCCAGAGACAGGTAGATCTTTGAGTTCAAGGCCAGAGTGGTCTGCATAGTGAGTTCCAAGCCAGCCAGGGATATAGAGAAAGACCCTGTCTTAGCTTTCCCTCCCCCCAAAGAAAATATTATTTGGCTAAACTCAACAGGGTCATTTTGCTTAAATTACATTTTATTTTTACAAATGTTATGTGTGTGAACGTTTGCCTTCATGTATGTGCATGTGCCATGTTTGAATCTCCTGGAACTGAAGTCACAGTTCATCGTGTGCTGCCGTTCAGGCACTGGGAACTGAATCCAAGTCTTCTGCAAGAGCAGCAAGTGCTCTAAGCACTGAGCCTTCTCAGCCCTACAGTGAGACTTTAAAGGGAAATGCGCAGACCGACCTGGAGGGTGGTTTAGAAGCCTGACCACAGTTTGAGCAACAATCTGTCAGGGTTCTGTGTAGGAGAGAAAAAACCTCTGACCTTGCATCTCAGGGCTCTTCAGAACCTTACCAGAATGTCTGAGGTCTACAGCTTGTGAGAGACTTCTACAACAATTTAAAGGAGCCTGTAGTGAAGCAATAGGAGCATTCTGAGGGGCCTTTTCAGGAGCCTCACCCTAGGCCATGCTCACAATTCTGGTAAACCTGAGGAAGACTGGTAAAACAAACCCTGGTGAAAACAGAAGACTCCCAAATATCCAGTCCTGGAACTCTGCATTCTTGATGCATCGTTTTGGCTGTAGTGGCCACACTTAACTTCTGGTTTTCTTTCTACTGTTCTAGACTGGGAGGTTTCTGCTGGAACTTCACAGTTTGTTTTATGTTTTTGTTTTTTTTTCTTACATTATTTATTTATTATTTATACAATGTTCTGCCTGCATGTGTCCCTGCAGGCCAGAAGAGGGCACCAGATCTCATTATAGATGGTGGTTGTGAGCCACTATGAGGTTGCTGGGAATTGAACCCAGCGCCTTCAGAAGAACAGCCAGTGTTCTTAACCTCTGAGCCATCTCTCCAGCCCCTACAGTTTGTTTTTGTTGTTGTTTTTTTCTTGTCCTTTGTTTTCTTCTTCTTTTTTTTTCTTTTAAGGCATAGTTTCTCTGTGTACCCCTGGCTATCCTGGACTCATTTTGTAGACCAGGCTGGCCTCAAACTCAGATCCACCTGCCTCTGCCTCCTAAGTGCTGGGATTACAGGAGAGCACCACCACCACTCAGTGAACTTCTTCAGTTTTCTTCTTTGGTCTTGTTTTGTGATCCTCCTGCCTCAGCCCCCTTAGTGCTGAGATCACTCCCACTGCTTCTCAAAAAAGTTGTTTTTTTTTTTTTTTAAATTGTATATGGAGCAGGTATGTGCCATGATACACATGTGGAGGGGGAGCAGGTGTGTGCCATGATATATGTGTGGAAGGGGAGCAGGTGTGTGCCATGATACACATGTGGAGGTCAAAAGATGATTTGTGTATGTATATACTGTAGGAAAAACAGAGTAATAAGAATAAACAAATCTTTTAAAAAGGAAAAGGCCAGACTGGAGAGATGGCTCAGAGGTTAAGAACACTGGCTGTTCTGCCTAAGGTCTTGAGTTCAATTCACAGCAACATGGTGGCTCTCCACCATCTACAGTGAGATCTGGTGCCCTTTTCTGGTGTGCAGGCACACATGCAAGTAGAACACTTATTTTTAATAAATCTTAAAAAAAAAAAAAAAAAAAGGAAAAGTCCTTACGGTGGTCAGGCACTTGTCTAGCAAGAGCAAGGTTGTAGGTTCTATCTCTAGTACCTAGAACCAGAGGGAAGAAAACTTTTGTCTTCTATTTCAAGAATGTAATTATACTCCTAGCTCTATGAGTGAGCATGCATGTTTCAGAGACTTCTAAACTGAACTTGAGTATAGCACTCTTCATATAAGGTAATTGATGGGAAGTTGGCCTTCCAGGTGGCTGAACTGGTAGGGTGCTTACTGCCCTCATAATAACCTGAGCTTGATTCCTGGAATCCACGTATTGGAAGGAGAGAATCAGCAATCCAGTTGTCCTCTGCCTCCATCCACATACAATGGTCACACACACAGTAAGTTTTAAACTTGATGTAGAGGCTGGAAGGCTGGCTCAGTAGTTAATCTAAGACCACTTGTTCAGTTCTCAGTACCCGAGTGGTAGCTCACATCCGTCCACTCCAGTTTCAGGGGATCCGTAAACTCTTGTGACCTCAGAGGTATGAGGCACCTATGTTACACGTAGGCACAGCATTCATACATAACATAGGTCTAAAGTGTTTTAATGGCTGTAGAATTTCTATAGACACTTAAATAAAATTAGGTTTCAGTAAGAGCCCAGTTTGAAATAGTAAAACTAATTAAAGCTCTTTTAGATAGAAAAGTTACTCAGGAAAAGAGTATTGAGTTGCTAAAAGAGAGTGAGTTAGGTAGCTAGGCAGTGGTGGTGCACGGATTAATCCTCTAGAGGCAGATCTCTGATCTGGTCTACAGAGTGAGTTCCAGGAAAGCCAGGGCTACAAGGCTGTCTCAGAAAACCAGAAGTGTGAGTTAGGCACCAAGAAAGCAAGCTGTGGAGACAGACAGGAGCCAAGGAGAAGTGATTAGACTCAGCTAGGGTCAGGTTACTGCCACTGGCTTGTTGCAACTGCCCCTTCTAATTCACAGAAGATTAAATAGATGGGATGTCCCACAAATAGGAAAATGGCTTTATGGCAGCCAGACAATAAGTAAGCAAAATAATAGAAAGGCAAATGTCCATTATAGTGTTGCTGCTGGCTGATACATGGTAGACGTCAGAAAGCTTATTTTACTTATTTGTTTATTGGTGTGTGTATGTGTGTCCTGCATGCCTCTGTGTGAGTGTGGAGGTCAGAGGACAACTTGTGGGATACTAAGTGCAATTTATAATTCAAAGATCTTCATTTTAAATTATGTGTATGTATGTGCACAAGCCCATGGAGCCCAGAGACATCAGATTCCTCTGGAGCTTGAGTTACAGGTGGTTGTGAGGTGGGTGCTGGGAACTGAAGGTGGGTCCTCTGCAAGGGCATGCTCTCAACTGCTAAGCCTTGTTTCTAGCCCCACAGTCCATGATACAGAAATTGCTTGCCATTCTGTGTAGCTCCCTGAAGTCTTACAGGTTGCTGTGTCCTTCCAGGGAAGTGAATTGTATCTTTGTCCAACATATCCACGTAGTGATGAGTATTTGTAGATTTATTATTAAAAGCCATGAAAAAACAGAAATGGGATGGGGTTCAGGATATCTCCAATGAGTTCGCTACGCGTGTGGGAATAGGAAAATGAGGAAGTTGCAGTGAGATGGCTCCTGGGTAAAGGTGCTTGCCGTGCAGTCCTGGCAACCCGAGGTGGATTCCCAGAAGCATGTAAGGCTGGGAGTAGAGAACTGACCCCATATGCACACTACGGCATGGTGTGGCCCTCCGTCAGACGGTGCAGGGTGCAGACGTAAACAATAGACGAGTAAAAAACCGGAAGAGGAAAACTTACTCTTGATTTGAATAGTTAAGTTACTGTTTGTATAGAAATAAAACAGTTAATTTTTAAAGATTATTGGAAAGAAAACTGTGGAGACATTTACTTGGGGAATTAGATGAGGAACTGGGATCAGTGGGGAGATGGATTGGTTTAAACTGAAAGAAACTTTTTGTTTTTAGGTTTTCAGCATCCTTAAATAGACCTCCTTGGAGCTCCCTCAGCCAGTTCAATGGCGTCCTCTACTACTGTGCCTCTAGGATTTCACTATGAAACAAAGTATGTTGTTCTCAGCTACTTGGGACTTCTCTCTCAGGAGAAACAGCCAGGTCCCTCACCCCAAGGTACTGTCTTTGGCTTATGATGGTTGTGTTGCTCATTATAAGGATGTGATCTGTAGAAGTATTTGCATCTGAGTAATTTCATGTATAAGATCAAGTAATCCCACTCCTGTTCCACTCCTAGTTGCAACCACTTTTAATGGTTTTTGCATTGTTTTGATTTTTGGTTTGTTTGTTTTTTGTTTTTTTTTTTTTTCATTTTGTTTCTTTTCAAAACTTATTTACTGCATGAGTGTGTGTCTGTGGGTGTGTATTTTCCATGATGTGTGTGGTGGTCAGAGACAACATTGGTGATAGATTCTTTCCACCTACCCTAGGGGCCCTAGAGCTCCAACTCAAATCGTCAGGCTTTCAGGCATCTTTACGTACTTAGCCATTTCATCGGACTTTTTTTGTTTGAGTCACGATCTGGCCATGTAGCCCTGCCTGTTCTGAAATTTGTTACGTAGCCTGGGCTGCTTTTTAATTAACTCCTTCTGCCTCTGTCTCCCACATACTGGGAATGTAGGCAGGTGGTCTGGCTTGTCTTCCTTTCTTTTAAAGATTTCTATGTATGAGTGTTTTTCTTGAATGCGTGTATGTGTACATGTGCATGTCTGGTGCGTGTGCAGTCAGAAGAGGGCAACGGATCCCCTGGACTAGAGTTATGGATAGTGTGAGCTATCGTGTGGGTGCTGGAAATCGAACCTAAATCCTCTACAAGAGCAACAAATGTTCTTCACTACTGAGCCATCTCTCCAGCTCCTTAATGTTTTTAAAGATTTAGGCAGGTGCAGTGGTGCACGCCTGTAATCCCAGCACTTGGGAGGCAGAGGCAGGTGGATCATTGTGAGTTCGAGGCCAGCCTGGTCTACAGAGTCTAAGACAGCAAGGGCTATACAGAAAAACCCTGTCTTGAAAAAAAATAAATAAATAATTGGCTTTTATTTTGTGTGTGGGTGTCTTAGTATGGTTTTATTGCTGTGAAGAAGTACTGTGATCACTTCAACTCTTTTTTTTTTTTTTTTTGAGACAGGGTTTCTCTGTGTTACAAGCCTTGGCTGTCCTGGACTCTCTTTGTAGACTTGGCTGGCCTCGAACTCACAGAGATCCACCTGCCTCTGCCTTCCTGAGGGCTCGAATTAGAGGTGTGGGTCAGCGCTGCCTATCACTGCAACTCTTTTAATGGAAAACATTTCACTAGGGCTGGCTTGTAGTTCAGAGGTTTAGTCTAGTGTCATCTTGGCTGGAAACATGACAGCATGCAGGCAGACATGGTGCTGGGGAAGGACTGAGAGTTCTGCATCTTGATCCACAGGCAGCAGGAAGAAAACTGGCTTGAGCTTCTGAGGCCTCAAAGCCCACCCCCAGCAACACACCTCTTCCAGCAAGATCACGGCTCCTCAAACGTCACTCCCTGTCAGCCTGTGGGGCCATTTTCATTCATTCAGACTACCACACGCTCACTCGTGCACAAACACACCACACATAAACACACATTTTGTGTGGTTATGTGAGGTCAGTCAGTGTATTCTTGGCAGAACTGGAACTCCATATGAAGACCATGTTGGTCTTGAATTTACAGACATGTACTTGCCTCTGCCTCTTGAGAGGCAGTGTGTTTGCAGTCAAATGCCTGGTCTTGGTTTTGATTTTGTTTTGAGTAAAGGTCTTGTGTACACCAGACTGGTCTTGTGTGGTGGAGCATACCTATAATCCCAGCACTCAGCAGGTAGGGCCAGGATCACCAGGAATTCAAGTTCATTTTTAGCTACATAGGGAAATCAAGGCCAGTCTGGGCTACACAAGACTTGTAAGACACTATAAGGTGTCTTACACTAAAAGGCTCAGTAGGTAAAGGGGCCTTTCAGAAAGCCCTATGACCTGAGCTTCATCCCTGGAACCCACTAGATAGAAGGAATGAACCTATCTGAAGTTTCCCCTAAACTGTAGGCATGTGACATGCTGTGCCTGTACACACATTCAGGCTAAATTAAAACAAAATTTTTTAATTGACTATTGTATATTAAATTTATATAAGTTCAGATATCTGATACTTTTTATTTTCAGTATACTATCAGTATTATCATGTTGTATGTACTTGTCTTTATTTAAAATTGATTTATTAAATTTATTTATTGTGTGTGAGAGAGGGAGGGAGGAAGGGAGAGGGGAAGGGATGGAAGGAGGAAGAACAGCCAGTTTGTGAGTTAGTTTTCTCCTAGTACCATGTGAGTACTGGGGATGGAACTCAGGTTGCTTTCGTGGGAGTAGCTTAGTTACTATGAGAGTGGGTTTATTTTGGGGTTAGCAAGATGGCTCCGAGGATCAAGATGCTTGTTGTGCAAGTATGGTGGTGACCTGAGAACTGACCTGAAAAAACTTCACTTCTGCACGTAAGCTGAGGTGTGCGCATATACACATGCACGCACATAAGTAATACGACGTTTTTAGCTGGGCGTGGTAGTGCACACCTGTAATCCCAGCATTCTGGGAGGTAGAGGCGCTCGGATCTCTGTGAGGCCAGCCTGGTCTGCAAAGTGAGTCCAGGACAGCCAAGGTTATACAGAGAAACGCTGTCTTGAAAAACAAAACCAAACTGCAATAAATAAATAAATAAATGAATGAATGAATGAATAAATAAATAAATAAATAAATAAATTTTATTTAATTAACAAAAACAACAAACCAAAAAAAATTTTTTATAGTGAAAACCATCAAAAGTAATCTAAAACTAGAACTGATCTTGTATTGCTCATGTTGTCTCTCTCCCTTGTCTCTTTTTGTGTCGTTTTTATTGTGCTTTTTGTTTTGTTTTGTTTTGAGATAAGTTCTCTCTCTGTATCCCTGACTGTGTGGCAGTTGCTATGTAGACCTTCAGCGCTGGGATTAAAGGCCTAGACCAGCACTCCCAAATCTCTCCTAAGACTTTCCTGGAGGGGTGCGGTGTGGATAGACCGCTGGATCTTTGGAGGTTACGGGCTCTACATACTGAACGCAGAGTTTGGTTCCAGAGGTTGGCGGAGTGGTTGACCCTGTGCTCAGAGTTGTCATGCTCTCTTATTGACAAGATTTGCTTACTTCTGTCTTGCTGTCCACTTCTAACATTACATGCATTTGTCACCAGATATGGCTTGTGTCTTCATTTTCATTTGGATCAAGATAGTGCTTTATTTTTCTTTGGATTCTTCTCTTTGACTTTTGTGTTACAGGTACACTAATTAATTTCCAAGTATTCAGGGATTTTTATTTTTATTAGTTTTTTTATTACTGATTCCTAGTTTAATTCTGTCGTTATCCGATTTAATGCAGCATGACTTAACTCAACATCCTAAATTATTCTTGCTTGGCTACCAACTGAACCACTTTGAAGTTACTTTTCATTGTCTTTTCATTTCTTTCTTTGTTTTTGGTTTTTTGAGACAGGGTTACTCTACTTTTTTTTTTTTTTTTTTTAAGAAGTACTCCTGTTATTGAATGCCCCATTTTAAATATTTTAATTTTTCTTATCATTGGTTCCCTGTAAATTGGGAGTATTTTGATGAGTTTTTATAGCGGCTGATATTTTTGATTTTTGTATTACAGGATAGTAAACACCATACCTTGCCTTTTCCTGATAACAGGAATGTACGCCATTGTGCCTTAAAGCTAGACTTTTCAAACTTCTTCTCTTCCTGCTTTCCTACGTCACACGTTATTTGCAGGTGAAGTAAAAGAGAAAGCTGTGCTGTATTGGTTGGCACGGTAGCTGAATGGCGCGTAGGTACAGCAGTATCCCTGCAGTTTGTGGCGAGCAGCAGGTGAAGCCAAAAACAGTCTGGCTTGCAGCTGTCATCTCCGCTGGCCCCAAAACAGCCCTCAGCTGCACACAGAGGAGTGTGGCTGTGCTCCAGTTAATTACACTTTGGGCCCGGAATTTCCTGTTCATTCGTCTCTCTGTTCTTTTCTTTCTTTTTGGTAGTACTGAGACTGAATCTGGAACATTAGGAACAAACAAGTACTAAACTGACAGCTGTGCCTCTTTTCACCCATCTGAAAAGTTAGTGAGGCAAAAGTTACTTTTATATTACTTACAGGTCTGTCTCCAGGAATTTGGAGATTTAGTGTTTATTAGTCTTTTATTACTGGTTCCTGGTTTAGCTCTCTTGTGGTCTGGTTAAATGCAGCATGGCTTTATTAACTCAACATTATAAATTATTCTTGCTTGGCTACCAAGGTGATAGCGTTAGTGACAGTATGGGAGTGTTGGCCAAGGCCACAGCATTTGCTATTAACTTCTTTTTCTAGATTCTTGCAGTCCCCACCTTCACAGCTGATTTTGTGTACATGTTTGAAGTTTTTGTTTTTAAAATTTACCCTCCTTCTGGGTGCTGGAGAGATGGTTCAGTGGTTAAGAGCACTGCCTGCTCTTCCAGAGGACTGTGGCTTAATTCCCAGCACCTACATGGCAGCTCTTAGCTGTCTCTAACTTCAGTTTCAGAGGATCAGACACCATTACACAGACATGAGTGCAGGCAAAACACCCATGAACATGAAATAAATTATTTAAAAAAATTACTCTCTTCCTCCCCTTTATTTTGAGACAGCATTGTGGCCCAAGAAGGCCTTGAACTTTAGCTACTCCTGTCAGTCCTTCAAGTATATATTGTCAGCCTCTGTTTTTGCAGTAGTTAAACAAACAAACAAATAAACAACAAACAAAAAGTTTGCTACCCAGGCTTGAGACATTAGAAATCCTTTAGTTCTTTTTTATTTGTTTTGATACAGGAGCTCTCTATGTAGCCCTGGCTGTCTTGGAACTCTTATGTAGGCCATGCTGGCTCTCACTCACAGACATCTGCTTGCCTCCCATTTTCCAAGTGCTGGATTAAGGTGTGTGCCTCCAGGCCTGGCTATCCTGTAGTGTTTTGTTTTGTTTTTTGAGACAGGATTTCTCTGTGTAGCCTTGGCTGTCCTGGAACTCGCTTTGTAGACCAGGCTGGTTTCAAACTCACAGAGATCAGCCTGCCTCTGCCTGAGTGCTG